CAGGAAGTGGTGGAGGGCTATGTGGGACTTCATTTGAAGCTGTAAAAAAACCAAAAGTTCCCAAATGAAAGTCTAATTAATAGCTTCCTTACATGGACCAACAATAGGTAAGAGAATCCACCTTGGTTTGGGGCATTTTTTTGTGAATGCAACTTCCTTCCTCAAAGCCAGAGCAGCCAACAGGCAGGACCACTTAAAGACTAGTGAAAAGAAAAGGGACATGAAGGGAACATTGCAACTCTGAGGTTGACTTCAGGAGTACTTCCCATCCTATATAACAGATCTTCACTTTACCCTCAGGACACCAGCAAGTTATTCTAGGGTTTCAGGGTTCCAGCTGCAATACTTGTTGATATAATATTAGACGAGCAGAAGAGTTTCTACTCCTGGGAATGTCAGACTCATTACTGGATACCCTGAAACACCATCACCATCTCTCTGCCACATTTCTAAACTGGCTAACTTTTTTCAGCTGTCACCTCCTGGAATATCCTTCAGGCTGGAAAACAGCTGAGGGTTATTTCAAGTAACCCTGAAAGATCAGGAGACTTGGATGGAAGGTTCTCCAGAAAGGTAAAGGCAAGAAATTAAACCATTGCCTGCTACAAAATTCAGGGTGACAGAAAGAAAACAAAGATGGAAGCTCCGTGGTAGTCTTTAAGGAGCTAAGCAAATTTAGGACATGGAAGAGGAAACAGTACATCTCTTACTAGGGGAGAGTGATGATATCCTCAGCCTCAATAAAGAACACAAAAACCTGCTAATTATATGATATTTGCTTTCAACGTCGCTGCCATTGAAACCTGGGAAGAACTTGAACAGGTTTTGCCAGCATATTTGCCAGTCATTGTGTCTTTATATATTGGAACCTTGCCATCTATTTAACGACATATTTGTATATTAAGAAAATTAATTTCACACAAAGAACTTCAGACACTGAAGCTCTTCTCACTTCCAGCCAGTCTTGGAGTTACGTAAAAATACATGTGGACAGCCTGGACATTTATAAACTGCTGACAAAAAGCAACTTTCAGTTGCTCATTTCCTGAAAAAGAAAGGAAAAGAAAGAAACAACACATAGGAAGAAGAAGTGTTGTTTAACACCCTGTTTGTATTACTGTGATCTAAAACACTGGTGTGATGTTTAAAAATGGATCAGTTCAAGGATAAATCCCTTGTTCTTAGGAGCAGGTCACAGATACTGTGTTGGCAGTGACCAAGCACAGGGAAAAACAGTTAGTGACGTTCATCACTCTTCTAAGCTAGTATGATGGATGAAAATAAAAACAATACCTGACAGTAATTGCAAGAGAAATTTTCTCTTATCATACCTTACTGATATAAAAAGCACAAGAGATTTATTTATTCTCACCACTTCAAATCTTGATATATACACAGGTGGCCTAATTTCCTCACCTTTACTCTTTATAATACCAAAATTAAAGGAAATAAAGGAAGAAAAAAACCCCAAACCCAAGAATTAGAAGGCAGGTGTTATTTTCAGTGATTTCTAAGTGTAATAACTGAAGTGGAAGTTTAATGCTTCCTTTCTAATCACATCTCGGCAAAAATGCTAATGCTAAATGAGTGCTTTACTGGAGCTCAAATTCTTGAGTATCCACCTCTGTCCCCTTTCTGGTAGTGCTGGTTGGGGTGGGTTTTTTTTGTTTATTGGGGTTTTTCTTTTTGGTTTGTGCTGGTTCCTGACAGAATTAATCTCCCTCCATACCCACAATGGTAAAAGACCCCTTGTACTGAGATTCTGTGGCCCTCTCACAAGGTAAATCGTACGATATACATGTTATACTTTGTCCCAGTTGTACTTTTCTCATTTTTTAACTTTTAACAGCCTACATTTCTGCAGCAGCTCCTATCTGAAAAAAGGCTACTCTGCTTTCTTGGAACCTGCTTCTGTTCCTTCATATTCCATTAATCTTCCAGCCACAGCCTCCCATAAAGCAGTCCTTCACGCTGCCCTGACAATTGTAGCCAAGTACAGTTATGTGTGGCGCAGTCTCCTGCGGAAAGTTCAGCTACCACTAGAGAGCAGCAAGGGACCAGTTAGCTACAGGTTCAAAAGAAAATCCAGCTCCGGGAAAAAAAAAAAAACAAAAAAAAAAGTTTGGGGGGTTGTTTTTTTTTTTGTTTTTTTAATAGCAATTTCAGTTTCCTTTGTGGAGAAGAATTATGTTTTGTTTTCTTTACAGTAGTCCATGAACATATTCTTCCAACTGAAAAAAATATTTTATTTATGATCAGGTATAAACAGAAAGACTTTTCCTTATAGCTTTACCTTCAGTCTTCTCTGCATTTTTAATAATTTCCACTGTATTTCCCATATATGCAGAGGAAAAGAAAACCTAGTATTTTAGCACTGTGGTGGAATTGGGGAAGAAGAGAATTCAGGAAATAATGAGATAAAGTCTTGGGAGAAGAGCCATCTGGACATCCAGTTGCTACAAGTTGGCTCTACACCTACTCAGTGTAGTAAAATATGATTTTGAAACACAAGTTTTAAGAGCTATCTTGTGACATTTCTCCCTAAGCTTTGAGGATAAAACCTAAGGCTAAGCAGAAGCAAGTATGTACTCCAGCACACAAAGATCAACACAAAGACCTTGTGGCGCTCTGATAAATTTCCGTTCTGAGATACAGTCGGTGTCATTTGTAAAGCTGTAAAGGATTAGAGATGGAAGGCGTTACAGACAGGTAACTGGCAGAAAACTGTAGTCAAGGCTTTGACACACAACTGAACACATCAGGTTTTTGCATCCAAGTTCTCACATGCCTTTTTTATTCCCTCAACTTCTACCAAAACACTATCGCTTATTGGCCATAGACCTAAAATCTGACAAGGGTCAAGGGAACCTTTTGATGTAAGCTGTGAAAACTACACTTCCCTCCCAACTAATGTTGTTCCTTTGAAAAGTGGGGGCCCTGCTCCCAGAGAGCTCGGGAGCAGCATTAAAACATCCTCAGCTGATGTCAGAACAGAAGTCAACTTGACCAAAGGTACAGCTCAGTGACATGGTTTAGCTGACAAAACAAGCCTGCTTCTGCTGAAAGGGTCTCCTCCAGCTCTTCCCTGACAGCCTTTAGATCCCCCCCGACACGGTTTCACCTCTAATATGCATTATCTCCATAAGGCTTGAGGGACATCCAACTTAGCGCGAGGGAGGGAGCCAGAGGAGGTAGCTGGGAGGCAGGGAGAGGGGAACATGACTCCCAGCTATTTCTCCCTCCCCACCACAGCCCTTAGGTTGGCTCCTCTGTCTTGTCAAACTGTACCACGGGATTCCTCTGGCAGCTAATATAGCTAGTAAACTGCAACTCAATTAGTAAATAGTAAGTCCCAGCTAAAATGATTTTCTGACAGAGATTTCTCAGACAGTTTGAGAGAAGAACTTACATTTCCCGGCTTTAGCTGGGATTCGGATCACAGTGGGTTTCCGGGCTAAAGCTGGTTGAGCTGTCTGTTCCTTTGCAGGTTCACTTTTGGTGAGGAACTGAAATGGATCTAAAAGGAAAAAAAAAAAACCCAATATATTTATTTGTTGAACTTAACTCACTGGGTATTGTTTTCATTATTAAGGACATACTTCACATCCAAGAAAGTAATAAAAAAAACCATATAAATCAGGCTGATGCAAATAGCATACTCAGCTCTTTCTAAATAACGTCTTTTCTGTACATCTGCATTCATAGTTGACTTAACATAAACATGCTCCAGATGCCTTCTGGGATTATATAAGTCACTGAACAAGAGGAAGTGAATTGCTTGGTAACAGGGACCTGAAATCAGGATAGCTTTAGGGAAATGTTTTCTAAAGCAGTTGCTCTAATATATAGACATAGCTGTGAACACATTCACTAAAAAGTTTTAATCAATAAAATCTTCCCAAAGCTAAACAATCAGCACTGCAGCAGATAAAATGCCTGCAGAAACAAAAAAAACCAAAGCAAAGCATTTAAATATTACCAATTACAAAATGTCTTTGCTGTAGAACAACTAATTCCCCGGAAGATTCTGCGTAATTTTTTTGATTACAAACCTGGTGTCATGGGGGAGATTGGTTCAGACCAAGGACTGTGAGTTGTGCCTGAGCTCTGCCCTTGCCTGTATCACTCATTCCTCTACAAGCCTGTCCAGTCATTCCGTTGGTAAGAGAGAAGCAATGTTTTCTATGCTTCATGAACTTAAGCACTGGTCTCTTATTAACAGGCATGGGAACATATGCGCATGTAGAAGGCAGCTGTAAAAATACTTGTACATAAATAAAATCCAAATCAACGCCTACTTTCTCAAGCACACCTTCATGTCAAAAAGCAATACTTAATTTATACCTCTTCTCTGTTGCTAACAACTGCTACCTTTTTTCCCTGACGCTACCAAAAACTGCAGTAAAATGGCAGCACTTAGTGGTATCATAAATGTGCAATGTTAAAACTGGGGAAGCACTCTGGTCAGTAAATCTCCATGAGACATATTCATAGCCCCAACAACCAAGTTTGATCTCCTCTGGTGGCCTTTTTAGATGTGTAGCTCAACGAGATGTTATTTATGGAGTGTCAGAGTCTCTGAGAGGAAGTATGCTGGGCATCTCTTTAAATTCTTCAGGACTTTTTTTAAGAACATGCCCTTTCCCAAAACTACCGCCACACTTTTTGACAAAGTTGGAAGCCCTGTATTTGATATAATTTTATCTTCAACACTTATAAAAAATAATTTTAAAATTATGTAATATGAAGTAATGACTTCATAGTCATTAGGTCATAGTCATAGGGATAGTAAAACACCATGCAGTTTATCAAGACACTAGAAATCTGTGCCTGGGAATATATATCATATATAAGAAAACCCAGAAATAGGGTATTTATTTATGAACAACCTCATTAAAAACCTTTTAGCATTTTCATTAAAATGCAGCCCAAAGTCCCCTCTGCCTGGGTCCTCAGCTCTCCCCAGCTCCAGCTGCCTGTGTCCAGCTGTAGCAACAGCAGGGACAACATGCCACAGGGCTTGCACACGATCACCCCGGCTCAGATGTCCACCTCCCACCAGCCCCTTGTTTTGGGTTCTCGTTGTAGGTGCATCCATCACGTACAGGTGTGCTACGGGGGCTTGTGCCGTGGCCTCTCTCAAAGTCCAGACATCGACCTGCCTACAGGCTCCCCAGAAATCTGCCTGGGTACCTTCATATAACATTTTAATCATGAATCAATGCACATCAATTCCTTCTGTCAGGCAGCTTTGAGTGTACGCTGCAGGTAGAAAGGATCATGGCAGGTCAATGATTTGTCTACAGCTAAAGATACACAGGCTATAGCTAAAAATAAGCTCTGCTACCATATAGACATCACATCGTGCCCAAAGGCACCGGCACATCCAGAAACCAGGCACAGGCAACCCACAATGTTTTAGACGGGTAAAATGAACATCTTGTTTAAGTTACGGATTAGCACTAGTCAGTAACAGGTTTAGGTTTCTTCAATGAAAGCTGCATCAGAGCAAGGGTTTTTCTAGAGGACTTGAGAACACAGACCACAGGAGGGGTGCAAGCATTTTGGCGGCTCAGTCACTACAAGAAACAGAAATCCCACTCTTAAAGCAAGTCTGCAGTTATCATTTTCTGTTATTCCTTTATCCCTATGTCTGCTAGCTACACCGCTATCATTTGAATTTCATTTTAAAAAGATTTATCTAAGCTTAACTCTTATGCTGGTGTTCAGAGTGACTTTAGTGCAGCTGAAAAAAAGAAAACCAAACCTGGGTTTTCTTCTCTCTTTCATTTATCTGGGAACTCTACAACAGATTTGAGGAGTGACCCTGCCAAGGCAGCAGGGCCTCAAAGCTGCACTGGCTCCTTGGGAAGCTGAAGGCACAGAGTGAGCAGAGGAAAGGTGAGCAGGGCTAAGTCACGGGCTCCTTGACACAGCAGGAGCGTAGGGAACACGCCGACACACGGAGCACCTCTCAAGGTAAGGTTCTGCAGAGGTTAGGGAAGTTCTGCATGAACAATGAGGAAACAATTTTCCAAAGCCTCCATCTTATAAAAATACAGACACCATGAGACCAAGTAGAAGTGCTCTAAACACCCAAAACACTCACAGATCTGTATTGTAAATGTATGGGAGATTTAAAAATGTATAAAACTACCATTTGTCAGCTGTTAATCATTGCTATGCGTAGAAATGGTTTTCTCGACCATTCAACAGTTGGCAGAGGTCTCAAAATCAATAAATCTGAGAAGTAATTTTTAAGTCTGAGGAAAAGAATTTCTAAGGTTGAGAAAACCATTCGATGAACCTTAGTTTTTCACTCATTATCTTATGTTCAATTATAATGTTGTCACCTCATAATTAGTTTAAAACTCATTTCCTTGTTCACATTATTCCATTCCCCAGTGTTGGGTTTGCAGCAGAAATTGGCTGAGTAAATGATTGTGCTGCTTGGTGCAATGGGACTGACAACATATCAAATTTTTATGTTGTTTAACAACAATTGGGCATTGTGTGAGCATAATTCACGGAAGTGTGAAAACAGAATTGTTAATATACTCATTTAAAGCTTCTCAGATCAAGGAAATTAATCTGGAAGGCATTTTTCATGGCACATACCAACAGACTTCTATCGATTTTTTTTATTAAACTTTTACAATAATGCTTAAAGCCTCTGTCTTCCTTAGTCTAACTTTTCTATGGCTTCTGTTTCAAAGGTTTATGTGATAACATATATTACTGTGCTTGTTTGCAGGAAAGAAAGCTGTGTATTCAAACATATCGTATATCAGCTCTTTCTTTTACCAGTTGAGAAGAGACAGTTCTTTTCCCCCACTCTCATTTACCACCCTCGCTTAAAATAAAAAAATCAGGAGGTTACAGAACAAACACTAGGTTTTGCCCATGTGAGCAGGACAGATAGATATATTTCTGAAACATTTATTGGTAGTCTTTTAAGTAGGTGGTAGGAAGATAGTAACAGATACCTCAGCAGCAATAAAGGGAATCTCGAAACAAAACAGATGTGGGAAGCTGAAAGCACAGAATAGCATTAGCTGCTGTGAAGATGCTCAGTCCTCCAAGAAGTACTCTCAGGACACATGAGAACAACACAGTATGAAAGGTGTTGATGCTGACATTGCAACACTTGCCTCTACAGAAGTATGCAACTGTATCTACTTTCAATGTTTAATTAAAAAAACTGAATCAGCTGCTAAAGGCAAGCCTCACACATTCTCTTCACACAGAACAGTATTGTTATGGGGATCTTCCAGGAACAGAGAATAGAGCCAAATCTCATCAAGAAACGGTTTTATCAAAACCTAGCCCCATGAGAACACTCTGATGTTTGTGGAAGCATACTTAGCTGACACTTGGGGAAAGATTTTCAACAACAGGTTGACTAATATAGCTGGAGATTCAGTGGAAACCTGACAGATAACATCCCAAAGAGGAATGGGGTCCATGCTCAAGAAACACTGTGAAATGCTATAACCAGAAGTCTGAAATTAACTCGGACGTTCTAAATCTCAGCCTATTTACAACTATAAATAGACATATTAGACAGGTATCCTACCTAAATTACAGCACCAGTGATTTCTCCAATCCCAGTTTTCCACAGCAGAAATGGTACTTCTAGCTATCATACCATTCTCTGCCCAGCCTGTATTTGTGCTTGGGATTGCCCTGACCCACATGCAGGACCTCACATTTGGTCTTGTTGAACTCCACGAGTTTGGCATTGGCCCACCTCTCCAGCCTGTCCATGTCCCTCTGGATGGCATCCCTTCCCTCCAGCGTGTCCACCACACCACACAGCTTGGTGTCATCGGCAAACTTGCTGAGGGTGCACTCAATCCCACTGTCCATGTCACGGACAAAGATGTTAAACGATGCTGGTCCCAGTACTGACCCCTGAGGATGTGTAATAACCTTTACATATAAGCTTTTCCAATGAGGTTGTGAAAGCACTACTTTTATTTCTGCACCTCCTTATGCCGTTTTAATCAAAAGCATACAACACTGGAGCAAGCACACAGCAATTTCAGAAAGTTTCATCTTGAGGATTATCTTTCCTCCCAGAAACATTATGACCAGATGTCAGAACAGGAATTTCAAACTTCTCACACATTAACAAGATTTTTTAAAAAGAGTTGTGCAAAGACCTCAGGACAGGAAGAATTTATCCACCAACATTATTGCTAGTCAGAGCCGAGAAAACGTAGTGAACTACTTGCACAGGTTTTAGGCATTGCTCCCTGTTCACTGCTGACATCTGATGGATCACCACAGAAACCAAGGCAACTCAAGGCCAGGGATCACTATTTTTGAGGAATGAGTCCAATCCAAAGAAGGAATAATGTTCACAGGATACAAATGGACTTTACAGAAGGAGCCTAGCCATCAGTACGGCAAAAGTGTACAAAGTCAAAGAATTACGTAGAGTTTTATATTATCTGGAAAGTATAGGAAAAAAAAAATTGCTAAGAGATGCAACAGAAGATCCAACCTACAGGT